GAGAGCTCCCGGCGGCGGGGGCGCTGCCCGGTTCTCTCGGGTTCAGAGACGCGAAGGAGGCGGGTGAGAGCCAAAGGAGGGGCGGGCGGCCCGAGTCCCCCTCCGAGCGCCGGCGGGCAGGGCCGAGGCAGGCTACAGGAGGTCCGAGGGGGTCTTCCCCATCCTGCCCCGGGGCCACCTCCCTCCTCTGCGCCAACTCTGTTCAGGCCCCCGCCCCCCGACTCGGCGGAAAGAGCTGCGGACTGCCTGGGGGCAGGTGGGACCAGAATCGGCACTTCCAGAAAGTTCCTGGCCTCACATCCTGGGCGTCTCCCAACCTCCTAGAGCGCCCTGGAGTGAGGGTTTCTGGTCCCCCTCTGTTGGCACAGCTTCTCCATTTTCCAGAGCTCCTCGGTTGAGAAGAAGGGAAGTCCTTCTCCCCGGGCCATGCATCCGAGTCAATCATGACACGTCAGAGTCGGGTTCCACCCTTTGGGGGAGGATTGACGAGGTCTGTGCTCCCATCCTCCCAAGTAGCTCTTGGATCAGCCTGTTAGGGGAAGAGCGCGAGTAGGGAAACACACTAAGGCAGGGAGGCTATCCCCTGAATTTCCCCTTCTCTGATCCGAGCAGACAGCCCTTCTGATCCCAGAAGGCAAAGCTAGGTAAGGCCTGGGGGGAAGGGGACATGGGCTCAAGCTGCCCCCCCTCCTGTGCCACTGGCAGTTCCCAGAAGGCACTGGTGTGAACAGGCCAAAGCACTACCCGTGGTCACAACTTCACTGCTTCAGCCAGGGCCCCGCTCCTTAGGTTCTTTTGATCCTGCTTCAAGAACCACTTCCTGAGTATGTGCGTACGTATGTGTGTACACAAAGAAGAGGGTGGGGAAGGAACGCAAAAGGAAGGCGATCTGGGCTGGGCTGAGAACCAGCTTCCAGGAGGACAAGCGCATTCTGGACCTTGACCCTTATGGTGGCCTTCAGGCCGTGGAGGAGGAGAGAAAAGATGCTAAAGAAAATATTCATCAGTGTCCTTATTGTGTTGCCACTAGATGCCAGGCATGTGCTAGGCCGGCGCGGGGGGGGGCCTTGCCCCCTTCCAGCAAGCAGAACGAAGTTCTGTCCACAATGTGAAGGACGGCAGAAGCTTCTTGCCGCAGCTGGATGTGCTCTGGCAGCTCAGAGGGAGGGAGAGGGGGAGGAGAAGGGACTTCACAGAGGTGGGTGATGTTCTCAAGGTGACCTTGGAGAAAAAAGAGGTAAGCTCTCAGCTCCAGAGACAAGGCAGCAAAGCAATCAACTGTTTAAAAAAAAAAAAAGAGCATCTCTTGAAGTACATGGGAGACTGGAGTTGGCTGGCTCAAAGGGCTGGGGAAGGATGTGGTGAAGACCAGTGAAGGTGATCTGGTGATCAAGAGTGAGAGGCTTTAGTTACATAACAGTCAAGTGCAATGCTTGGTCCTTGATCAAATCATCTGAACAAACCAGCTGTGAAAGACATTTTGGGAACCACGGGGAAATGTGGATATGGACTGATAGACATAAGAAAATGTTAGCTGTGATAATGATTCGATCCTATAGGGAAATTACTCTGTTATTTAAAGATGCATACTAGCCGGGCTTGGTGGCTCAGCCTGTAATCCCGCGCCTTTGGGAGGCTGAGGTGAGTAGATTGAGCCCGCGGGTTCGAGACCCGCCTGGGCAACTTGGCGAGACCTCGTCTCTACAATAAATCAAAAAATTAGCCGGGCATGGTGGTGCACCTGTAGTACCA